CCCCTCTCCCACCTCCTTTTCCCAGTCTCCCCAGAGGTTAATCCCCTCCCCCAGTTTTGTTAAATAAAGAGAGTTTCTATTTTTGAACACACATGTCCTTTATTTTTTACATCAGGAAGGGGGGCTAGGGAGGGATAAGCAGAAGTAGGTGAGGGAGGAATGGGGCACGAGCCCCCGATGGGGAGGACTGGGGTGGCTCTGCGGGCTCCTCGGGGTGGAAGCTCTCCTGCAGGGCTGCCTGGATCCTGACAGCCCCCCGATTGACCCCCCCCGGATGGCAGCCTGCAGCAAGTGCAGATGGGCTGATGGCCGAGTGCTGTGATGGGCCGAGTGTGGGCACTCAGGGCACTCCAAGACAGGACTGCTTTGCTGTCCCTCACTGAGGTAGACAAGCAAGCGGGGAACCCTGAGAACTGTCTGTCCAGGGTAGGGGTCGGGGTCGGGTCCCTTTAAGCACAGCCCTCAGCTAGCCTGAGACAGCAGCTCCACACTCTAAGTCCTAACCTGATGCCCTGCCGGCACTGGTTCCGGCCATCCTTAACTTCGGTTCAGGGTCCACTCAATGTGGACATGCTATTTTAAATTAGCAAAACACTAATTCAAATTAGTTTTTAGGTCTAGATGCACTAATTCGAATTAGCTTAATTCGAATTAACTAATTCGAATTAAGTTAGTTCGAATTAGTGCTGTAGTGTAGATATACCCTTTCATAGTGACTCAGAAAGAACTAAGAAAAATAAATGGGACATTGTGTGACACCACAATACAAAAACTTTACTAATTGCCTCTGTGTGCTCATGAAGAGGCTACAAGCAGAAGGCCTCATCCCATCAAGTTGATTTCTGGAAGAAGGAAATAAAAATAGTTAATGAAAAAAAATCATCTCTTTTGCTGTTTGAACTCTGACTGGGCTAAAGCTGTGTTACAGAAGCAGAGATCCCAGGGTCAACGACATCCAGTGCCGAAAGATTACCAGAACTCTCTCACCTTTTAAAACCATATGTAGTAAGTCATTTGTGTACATAGATTTGCTTACTTTAACCTTGTAATAACTCTCATTTCTTTTCTTACTTAATAAATTCTTAGTTGTTTTACTGTTGGATTGACTATAAGCATTGATTTTGATGTGGGATCAAATTGACCTGAACAAATTAACCTGAAATAAGTGATTGGAAGCAATCTGAATCTTTTGTAATCTTTGGTGTGTAGTAAACACATTCCAATCTGTCTATGACTTCATGGTAAGATTGTTACAGTGTTTCAGGAGATCACCTTGGTTACTGGTTTGGTGAGAGCTAATCATTGGGCATACAACCAGTATGGGATCTCACCTTCCCTTCTTAATCTGTTCTCGGAGGTTGGCACTCAGAGCCGTAAGCCACTCAAGACAGTGTGACAAGCATCTTAACAGAAACTAGTTGCAACCCTAGCCCTGAAGAGACACTACAGCAGCAGCATAATATTGTTAGCAAAGATTATGTAGGTATCAAAGATTACTAAGATTTAATATTTTTGTAATTTGTTTTCATATGGTTGATCATAGCTGGTTTTTTGGCTTTGAAATAAGAACTGGGAATAAACTTAAAAGATAACAAATAGTCTTGCAGTACCTTGGAGACTAACAACATTTGTAAATGGTATCATGAGCTTTCGTGGGCACAACCCACTTCGTCAGATAAAACTGGGAATAAAGGAGTCTCATCTGTAAGATCTTTAAATTCCCAGAGGGTCAATTTCATCCCTCTTGTAATTCTACTTATTTCTGTGGAGTTACATAAGGGATTAATTTGGTCCAATGTATATCATGCTCTGATGTCTCCTACATTATGCAACTGCAAAACACCAATAGTTTTATTTTGAAGTTATTTCTGTTGATTAGCATGCTTGGATGAATCCAGACTTACAGACATTGACAATTGTCATTCCAAACAGGTTCAGAAGCAGAGTGGAGAAACATCTGCTAATCTTCGTAAGAGAATTGACAGCACAGCAAGGAGGGACTGGAAATTTGTTCTTGATCCTTTTTTAACCTACTGTGGCAGGCCCCGCCCGCCTGAGTCCCCCAACACCCTTGTAAGACAGTTTATAACTGGCCCTTTAAGCAGGGCTAAGGCCCTCTGGCCCAAGTCCACGCAGTAGTTTATCGTTGTAGTGGGGACACACCCCAGGTAGGGGGACCCAGGCCCACCCTACTCCACCGGGTCCCAGCCCAGGGCCCTGTGAGCGACCAGGTACTGGGTCACTCTCTCGGCGGGGCCATCCAGCCAAAACACACCGAGGTTCTCGGGCCGGGAGAGGCGGCTCCAGCTCCTGCCCTGGGCCACTTCCTACCTGGATCCCCGGGCTTCCTTCCCCTGGACTTGCCCAGCTGGCTGCGATCTCCAGACCAGCGTCCCCTCGGCAGGCAGTCTCCGGGTTGCACCACCTCGCCTCCGCATCCCATCCGGCCTCTCCTGGAGTCCCTGGTCACAGCTGAGTGGGAGCTCCCTTCTCCAGTCCTTCTCCTTCGGCTGTCTCCTCAGACTGAGTCCTGGCCCAGGCTTTTATAGCCCTACTGCAGCCCGGGCATGTTTGGTAGGGCTGTGGGGGAGGGGCCTCTGCAGCCAGGTAACCCTGGCTGGGCCCTGTAGGTTCAGTGCAGGGCTGCCTTGCCCCGTCACACCTACATAGGGAACTTGAGAATCCTAAGACATTCATTCATTTGTTTCTTTCTCCATCAACAGGGAAAAAATGCACCATCGCAAAAAATTAAACATGAGCTGGTTAATTATTTGTTTTGAATAATTTAATTACAAATTCAGACCTTTTTTCATAAGCAAATCCATCCACAAGCTGCTCCTAGGTCTTCCCTGATATTTTTGTTATTTGTAAGTATTTGCAGAACAATGTGACAAATCCGTTTTAGCTAAAGAATTATTTGAAAACTTTTTGCTACAGTAATTTGCTATTCTTTTTGTGTGGTTGATCACCTAAGTTACATGTTATTGGTTTCTGCTCTCTGACTGAATGATTGGAACTTTTTAGAACAGGAGAAGAGCAGAATAGCAAAAAAACAGTAGAACCTCTAAGTTATGTGCACCAAATTTATGAACTGACTGGTGAACCACATGCCAACCAGGGATACAAAAATCAGGCAGCAGCAAGGATTCCCCCACCTCCTCCTCCCCCCCCAAAAAAAGCAAATATAGTATAGTACTGTGCTAAATGCAAGCTGTTTCCAAAAACAGAGAAAGTAAGAAAAATGATTTTGACAAAGTAAAGAAACTCTTCCATGTTTGTTTCATTTAAATTAAGATGGTTAAAAGCAGCATTTTTCTTCTTCATAGAAATATTTCAAGGCTATATTAAATCAAGATTTAGTTGTAAACTTTTTGTGAGAATAACCATAAGGTTTTGCTCAGAGATATGAACATTCCAGAATTACAAATAACCTCCATTCCCAAGGTGTTCATAACTCTGAAGTTTTACTGTATGTCCAGTACACATTTTCAGACAAATGAAAATTCATGGTGACATTCATGAAACTTATCAAACATTTTCATAAGCAGCTGGCATCCGTCAGAATACTGACAAATATTAGAAACAGGACCACAGCTAACCAAATGTATCACTTTTATTGATTGAGCATATTTCTAAACCATTTTTTTTTTAAAAACCATACACTTCAAACAGCTCTGAAAAATATAGTATGATCCAAAACCCCTTGAAGAAAATGGAGAGATTCCCACTGACTTTGATGGGCTTTGAATCAGGCTCTTAATAATCTTATGGAGCCTTAATCCAAAGTAGCAAGAAACCTTTATGCACTTCAGTGAGGGTATGCCTACACTACAGCGCTATTTTGAATTAACTTATTTTGAATTAGTTAATTCTAAATAAGCTAATTCAAAATAATGCATCTAGACCCAAAAACTAATTCGAAATAGCGTTTTCTAATTTGAAATAGCGCGCCCACACTGATTGGATGCTGGATCGCATTTAAGGGCAGCTGAAACTGGTTCCAGCAGGGCATCAGGTCAGTAGTTGCTTTGTGTGGCTGCTGTCTGAGGCTATCTGAGGCTCGTGCTTAAAGGGACCCCCCTGGACAGCTGGTTCTCAGCTTTCCCACTTTCTTGCCTACCTCACTGAGACACAGCAAAGCACTTTCCTCTCTGCCTGCTTCGGTCGCTCTCCTTTGGGACATCGCAGCACTCGGCACCATGGAGCCAGAGCCGCCCCTGGGCACTCTGGTGCTCATGTTGAATGTCTTGCTGCAAGCCTGGCAGTAATTGCTGGAGGCTGCCTGACACCTTCTGCTTCAGCCCAGTCATCCACCTCACCGACCCGGACGCGGTCATCCAGGGGTTCGGCGCCCTCGGCTTCTCCAACTGCCGGAGGGAGGGCAATCGATGGGACGCACATCCCCATCCGTGCCCCGAACCACCAGGCCTCCCTCTACATTAACCGCAAGGGGTACTTCTCCATCATCCTGCAGGCTATGTCTGACCACCGGGGCCAGTTCACGGACATTGAAATAACGCATTTACACACAAAATGCATTTCGAAATAGCATTTTGCTGTTTTGAAATAGCACGTCCATACTGAGTGGACTCTGAATCGCATTTAAGGCTGGCCAGAACTACTTCCAGCAGGGCACTAGGTCAGTACTTACTGCATGGGGTTGCTGCCTGAGGCTATCTGAGGTCTGTGCTTAAAGGAACCCCCCTGGACAGCTAGTTCTTAGGTTTCCCTGCTTGCTTGTGTACCTCGATGAGGGACAGCAAAGCATTTTGTCTCTGAATGCTCTGGTTGCCCTCACTTGGGACACCATAGCACTCTGCAACATGGAGCCAGAGCTGCCCCGGGCACTCTGGTGCTTCTCTTGGACGCGTTGCTGCAAGCTTGGCTGCACTGTCTGCAGGCTGCCATCCGGGAGGTCCATCGGAGAGCTGTCAGTATCCAGGAGGCCCTGTGGGAGAGCTTCCACCCTGAGGAGCTCTAAGAGCCTCCCTGGTCTGCCCCACTGGGGGCTTGTGCCTCATTCCTCCCTCACGTCCTTCCACTTACCCCTCCCTACCCCCCCTTCCTGGTGTAAAATAAAATACACATATTTTCATGAACACAAACTCTCTTTATTTAACAAAACTGGGGGGGGAGGAGATGAAACTCTGGTGAGACTGGGGAAAGGAGGCGGGAAAGGAGTAATTAGGGTGGGAGAGGGGAAGGGGGAAACCTGGGAGGAGGGAGCTGGAAGGGGGAGGCAAGGGGAGTAAGGGGGAGGGGAAGCTCAGGGTTGGGGGTCTTGCTGGCTCTCCCATCTTGCAGCACTGCGGGTGTGGGAGTATCGGGGGGAGTGGGTGTGGAGGGTGGGGCAGGATGAACAGGGGGGTGTGGAAGAAGCGGGAGGGGGAATACGGGTGGGAGGAGAAGTGATAGGTGGGACGGCCGCCGGGGCTGGAACAGCAGGAGGCAGCAATCAGTCAGTCAGGGCCTGCAGGTGCTCATGGAGGGCATGGCCCTGCTCCCGGAGCTCCCTCAAGCTCTCCCACCACAGCTGCAGGTCCTCTTGCACCCACTGCTCCTGGCTGTGGACCTGCCGTCCCTGCAACCACAGCTGCTGCCTCTGGAACTCCTCTTGGTTGCGGGTGCGCCTGCTGGCCTGAGTTCGGGTGGAGAGTCCAGGTGGGGTGGTGAGTCCTGCACTCGCAGGTGCTGCAGCTGTGGTGAAACAAGAGAAGTGGTCAGTTCTCCTTGAGGACACAATGGGTGAAACCCAGCCCCCCTCTGCAAGGCGAGGACGGCAGGTGTCCACATCATCACATACTGCTATCCCCGGGAGTGTGAGCTGGCCCAGGATTGCACCCCAGCCCCTTTGCTGCCTGCAGTGTGGTGGGGAGGGGGAGAAGGGAGATGTGCCCTGCCTCTGTGTAGAGGAGGCATCTGGAGGGAGGGCAGCGTGCAGTGTCTCTCTCCAGGGTAAGGTCCCTGGGCTCCTCCCTCCTGCCCCACCCTGCATAAGGGGACCGTGATGTCACTCACATGTGGAGGCCTCCCCGGCCTCGGATGAGGCTGCTGACGGGCTCTCCAGTTTGGCTCAGGGTTCCTGGGTGCAGGGCAGGCTCCCTGCAGGACAGGCTACTGTCGTCCTCCTCCTCCTCCTCTTCCGTGTGTCAGGGGCAGGGCCCTCTGCCCTGGGGTCAATGACAACCAGGGGAGCATGGACCATCTGACCCCCCCCAGGATATGGTCCAGGGCCTCAAAGTGAGGGCAGGCCTCCGGGTCAGCTCCTGGTTGGGAGGCCCTGGCATAGGCCTGCCGCAGCTCTTTAATTTTGCAGCGCCCCTGCTCCTGGGTCCGCATGGGGCCTCTGGTGGCCAGGCTGGCAGCCGTGCAGCTGTAGACGGCCGCGTTCCTGTGCCTAGTGCGGAGATCGTGGCCGTTGAAGGCCTCCCCCCAAACCTTGATATGGTCCACGATCTCCGCACTAGACCAGGCGGGTGCCCGCCTCTTGCGGCCCCGGGCCGGCCCCCGGGAAGCCTGGTCCCGGGAAGAGGCGGAGGGCTGGGTGGCAGCGGGTGGCTGGCTCATGCTGTTCCAGGTGCACGGTCTGCTGGCTGTGTGCTGGAAGGCTGGCTACTGGCACAGGCACTGTGGTCAGAGTCTGCCCCTTTAAGGGCTCCGGGGGCGGATGGGGTTGAGCAGACGAGTTCTCCTGGTTGTGCCCAGAGTGGCCACCAGGGCTCCCTGGGAAGGGCTGGAGGCCCCCTAATTCAAAATAAGTGTCTACACAGCACTGATTTCGAATTAGCTATTTCAAATTTGGCGTATTCTTCGTAGAATGGGGTTTACCAAATTCGAAATAAGGGCTCCGCTATTTCGAATTAAATTTGAAATAGCAGCTTGTATGTGTAGACAGCTATTAAAGTTAATTCAAAATAACGTCTGTTATTTCTAATTAACTCTGTAGTGTAGACATACCCTGAGAGTTTTGCCTGAACAAAATCCGCACAATTAGGGCTCAATTTTTTTTATTTTTTTTTTAAACAGGTTCATTTAGAGATCTAGAAATACAGTAAGGCTGTATAAATAAAACATTATTAATAATGATATTTCATTATTAAATTCAAATGCTGCCTTTAGCAATCTCATCAGTGAAGACAATAAATATCTTTTGAAGTTAAGCATTTTTTTTTTTTTGCTGTTGCAATCTGCTTTACCACTGAAACCTCAACCATGAAGGTAGCTGTGTATTTTTTTAAGACAAGTATGAAGTAAAATTTTCATTTCTTCAAAGACTAATCACACATCCCTAGGGATTCAATTGAATTGAATCTTATAAGCCTACACAAACACCACACAGGGAGCCCAAACTTTGACATGTACCACAATTATAAAAATCTTCCTTGTGTCAGTCCCATCAAAGGAGGTCCACTCTATAAGTCCTTTCCCTTCAACATTATGAAAATGCAGACACAAAAGAGGCAGTGAAGTGACAGATCATGTGGGCAACTTTGGATGGCATTTGACATAGCTATTAATGGTCACATTGTTCTCCGTTTTACTGAACATTACCAGTCAGTCTCTGGAAAACATGCGCTGTTGGGAATCTGTTCAAAGCTTTTATCAAAGCCATCTTACAATGTGTGTTTGTTCCTTTGGAATTCGTTGTCACAAGCCCACCTTGAACAGCATCTCACATTCATGTGATTATGATGTACAGTTTCATGAGACATCTTTTTAAATAGTGAATGCAACAGTAAAGTATTTGTATGGCAAGCAATAGTG